TCTTAAAACCCCTAAAGTCATTTACTGGCAACTTATTCAGTACAATACCTACTTCATGAACAACACTTTTTTTTTAATCAAAACTTTCCATTACTTTTAACAATTTAATCGTCCACTAATGGCCATTTGCACCGCTATCACTTAAGGGATATTAAGGGATATTTATTTAAAGTGGAGCTTTTGAATGTGACTTTTGTTTCTACGAGAGTCACATTCAAAGCTTCACTTGGATTAAATATCCCTTAAGTTATAGCGGTGCAAATGGCCGTAAGGATCCTACACTTATGGCCGTTTGCACCGACAATTTTGAGGGAGGCTTAACGATAGGTATAACTTAAAATGACATTTCTACATGTAAAAATGTCACTTTAAGGAATACTTATCGTTAAGCTCTCCTTAAAATTGTCGGTGCAAACGGCCATTAGACAGAACAATATTATTTTTCGAATTCCTAGTCAACATTACACAAATTATTTATACTCTTTTTTTGTTAGCTTCTAGAGCCCTTAGACTTCAATTAGACAATTCAGTTCATAATTTTCAATAAATGCATACTCAAAAATCGGCAATCGTTAAGTGCATTATAATTTAATTTCTCCTTTCGAACTCTTAGCAAAAATATTTATTTTGAACCATATATGTAATTTTCACATTCCTTACTGGTTTGAAGGTTCGAAAATGTCACTTTACTTTTGTTTACTTCAAAGCAGTCCAAAAGTGACTGTTCTCCTACTTCTCCTGTCACTTTCGGACTGGAGAACTCAGTTTCGGCCCTGATAAATTGTTCTTTCACACCTAAACACAAATCCAGGTGCAATAATGTTTTTATTTAGAAGTATATGTCACATGTGTTTATATTATTGAAATTTCATAAGATGTCAATGTCGGTGACAGACTGTCAGTAGAAATTCAATTTTTGTCATATTTTTACCTTTTTTTTCAATAATTATTGGTTCAAAATAAAATAGTATACATAATTCGGTGGAAAGTTTCCACATTATTGTCTCGAGAATTGGTTGACCTCGGCGCTTCGCACCTCGGTCAACCATAGTATCTCGTGACAATAATGAAACACTTTCCATCTCCGCATGTAATATACTATTAATTGTTATAAGTAATTAAATATATGCCCTAATATTCCATAGTCTAAACAATCAAGTTAATAATATTTATGCGATAATGTTCCATAGTCAAAACACTCGAGTTATTAATATTTATGCAATAGAGTTCCAAAGTCAATTCACTTGATAGTCATTCATCATTGATAAAGTCAAAAATAATCCTAGTCCTTAGAGTACTTAGATACATTTAAATTTTTCACCCGTAAAGTAACTTAATTATTTTACTTCAAAATAGCTAGAGCACGCACATAAACTGAAAGGTTTACTTCTTTCTTACTTCGAGTTAATTACTGAATTTATACTTTTCCCGAGACCCGACGTTGTATACTTGAGATAATTGGCCACTTCTGAATAGGTACTACTAAATTATTAAGTTTAATTCTCGACAATTGACTGATGATTATTATCCGCACTGACTCATTAGATACTGTAGACTTAAACTCAAAACTGAACTGAAGACTCAACTGGACTAATGACTGAAGACTAAGCTTAAACTGAACTGATTCGAAAATTCCGAAACCGCGGTTTTTATACTTTATCGCATTTTTGACAGTAATGTGATACATAACTGCATTCAAAATTGAGTGGTAAAGTGCCACTTTACCAAGATAGCAACACTTTACCACATAGCAACCATTACCTGTATAATACCTGTTCTTTTTGATCGTTTCCCTTATAATTTTTAGAGATTTCTAGGCCACCGTCTCCTGTGAATGTCATTTCAAAAATTATTTTAAAGTCATGTTTTATCTCTGGTCATGTCAAAAGTGAAAACATATTTTAACGATTTGAAGACAAAATGCGATAAAATAGTGTAAGTAACGCGTCAGCAAAGGGTTTTACCAATTTCGTGAGGCCTTAGAGCACTCGCTCGCTTCGCTCCCTCGTACACAAAACTGGCCACACTCAATTGGTAAAACCTTACTTTACTAAACCTGGTGCTTAATCAGAGGTTATTCTAAGGATTTTTTTCCACTGCACATAACAGTACGGGAAAGACTTTTCCGGCCTAGGCTGGGAAAGTGTGCTGATCCAGCAACGTCACAAAAGCATTCCTCATTTTTTTTATTCCAGAGCGGCAGCAAATTTTTTATTCCTGAGCGACAGCAAAAAAAATAGTATGTGTGCACATTCTCGGCCTTCGATGTTTACCGGCCTCGGCTACACCGTCGGCCGAGAATGTGACACTTTTCCACCCAAATACACAATATACCTACTATCTTCTATTTTGGTTTTATAATAACCCATGAACGCGTCTGACATTACATTATTTGGAGTATTATAAAAGCACTGGCGGCTAGTGACATCCTACTCCAAAAAAATGCGCCACGGAGGTGCCACGCCTTTTTTACATTTTTCACAATATGCCTTATCTGTCAGAGTGGGATCCTCGACAAGGCGTCAAGAGTCAGAGAAACAGCACAGGCCAAACAGCAAAGATATTTTTGCTGAGGCCAATGCGGATGAGGTAAACGGAGAATTTTAGGTAGTGCTGGGGGGAAATTAGCAATACATTTTAGAATAAATGTAATGTATTGATAGTGCTATTGTATTCTCAGCATATTATGTCAACTAAATTATTTGTTCGTAATACATGAAAAAATAACTACACATATTTTAATTTTCCACTGCACAATTTACTTTTCCTACTGCACATTTCGTGTCCAACTGCACGTTAGAATAACCTCTGTGCTTAATATACTATTTCGTTCCCCCAAAAATATTTTAGGTCAAGTCAATTCATCGACCGTTCTTTTTTCTAAGAAATATATTTATTTGTTTAAAGCCGAATAATTATGCCCAATTTCCTGGTTTATCAGGGTCAACAGATTTGGTTCAAGAACATGAATATAAAGGCCGAAACCCACTAGCAACACGCCACGCCACCCCACGCTATGTGACACAGGTTCACGTGGGACAGTTTGTGTGCAAATGGACAGATGGCGTGGCGTGCCATGGCGTGGTATCGCGTATGGCAAGTGTGTACGCAGCACATATAAATAAATGGAAAAATATACGCATACATTTTCGTCACATGGCGTGGCGTGGCGTATTGCTAGTGGGTTTCGGCCTTAACTCAAAGGAAACCGAAAACTCCTGCGGGTCATAAATCACCGATTTAATTACTTTAGCCTCGTTTTCAATATTTCTATGGATTTTTTTTCTGCGAGTGCAAGAACCTGGCGATATCGTAGCAATGGCTACCTAGCTCGTCATTATCTATTAGGTATTTCAATTTGATGACACGTGCTTGATGACTAACTATTAAAATATTGAATATATTTTAATTAATTAGGGTCAATGCTAATTTGTTTCATTTTCAATTGATTGATACTGATTTGAAATACAGGAAATTCAGTTTTTGATTATTTGACTACATTTAATTTTTACAGTTAAGATATTGTTAATTACGGGTCTATTTTTTCCGGGTCATTACAATACCTATTGGTATTACAAGATAAATCTGGGGGTGAAAAAAATTAAATACAGGAACTGTCAAAATTCTTGAGATGTTTTAATTAAAGCATTTTAAATGAATTTCAACCTATCCGGATTTCTATCTTATAATTTCACCCTTCCAGCACTCTCCTTACTCGAGAAGATAATGTGGGAGTCAAAAAAAAAAAAAAAATTGGCCAGATAGGTTTCTGCCTGGATTCAGTAAAGAGTTGATAGGGATGGACACACAATTTGGTTTACACTGTTTACACCGACTCTTCTTAGAGCAAATGGTCCAATAATCCCACACATCAAATAGTTAAAGAAACCCATCACAATTTGAAAATAAATTAATTAGGTACTAAATGGCGGTGTGTTAGTACTTTTCTTGATAAGAGATATTTTCATTTTTATGCACATTTTATTTATGGATACATGGCAATACTGATTTTATATTGGATCAATTAAATTTAGTAGTTAAACTTTTCAAATAACTTGAATTATGAATTATTATTTAGCTGATTCTGAAATGGCGAAAATACAACTTTATAATGAAAATTAGAAAAAATTGAACGAAATGATAAATTTATAGTAACAAGGCGCTGTCGTCAGCATCAGTTAATAATTTTACTTTTAATATCACATGCCTATTTATAATTTTTTCGAATAAATAAATTGTAAAAAAATTGCTGTTGTTGTAATAAAAATGAGTTACGTAATGAGCTTAATAAATCGCTAGAGCTATAATGAGCTCATTACATCACTAGTACGATAATAAAACTTAAAAAGGCTACAATAAGTTCAAACTCTTATAGTGTGGGTCGTACATGAGTAAAGGAAATTAATGAAATTCAGTCCACCTCTCAACTCCTAAAACAGACTAAACAGACGTACTCCGTTTTTCTCCCATTTATAACATTTGAAGTATTTCAAAATAAGGATAACAACGTTGATTTGTTCAACGTAAATGGAGCTTCCATATGTCGCATCTTTTTACCACCGAAATACCTTGTTTTTCTTGGTATTGCCCTTTTTTTTTCATTGTTGTCCTATTCCACATATTACTTTGGCGACTTGTACTTGTTGTAGATATTCTATTTTTATTTTTGAGCAGCTATCATTTTTATTAAGATATTAGGTAAGTATCTGAAAGCGTGTTTTGTTGTTTTTTACTTTGTATATGCCTTTTAAAACCTATAAGGCAGGTATTGTCAATTAATAAATAAATACATTTTTCGGGAAACCAACTTGCATTTGAACAGCAATAGATATCGCAACATCTTCCTAATACCGCTTAAACTCGTGAAGTGATTCATTACTTGTAGGTCCAGTTTCACTGTATCATACAAAAATACCTCCTTGGGTAAAAACCGATTATGCAAAACAAAACAAAAATTCATTGACAACAAGTTATTGTTTATTTTCTAAAAATAATCATCTTTATGCTTTTTTGAATGCCTGCACAATCGATTGATTCAATTCGCCATCCTCTAATCCACTTTTAACCGCTTGCTGATAACAACTCATAGCTTCATGAATCTTACTCAGCTTCAAGTTCAACAAAGTCAAGTAACCCCATACTTCCGCATGTCTGTTATCTTTCAAATTAGCCCTATTCAAGCACTCTTCGGCGTTCAGTAGATCGTTTTGATGATAATACAATTTACCCGCACTGAACCATAGATGAGGAGTTTCGTGAATTTTGCATGCAATCAAAATTAATTTTATGGCTTTTTTAATGTTGCCTAATTTGGATAAAATTTCAGCGCAATTTATGTACACCAAGTGGATATTTTGCGGTCTATTGTAGGCTTCGATGACTCGGAAATATTCGTTTTGGGCTTCGTTCAATTTTGATTGGGCTAGAAGAATGTGACCCGATAGGGCTAGTATTGCATAGTCTGGACCTGGAAATGATTTTGTTGTTAGTTGATTTAATTAATTTCATTTGTGAAGCACCCAAGCTGAAAGAAAAGTGGACATTTGAGGCTCCAACTTTTTCATACAAAATTTGAAAATGAATTAAACATTTTTCTTTTATTATATTTAAAAGTTTTAAGAAAACAGTTAGTCGAATTCAATTTAGTCCTGAAGAGCGCAATCAAAAAAGTCCAGTTCTTGTCTCATGCAGCCGAAGGGCGTATGAATGTTGCAACTTTGAAGGACTATCGTCTAAACCATGTACCATCAACCAGAGGAAAAGAGCTATAGTTGAGAATCTTCTTTTCTTGAAAGTTGACTGATGCAATCAGCAAGCATGGTTTCGCAGAGGGTATTCTGGACTTGATGGTCTTGATGTGACAAAGCAGCAAGCAGCAATAGTTAGATACTCCAAGACACTTGAAGACACGTTGTAGCAAGTTTTGATTGCTTTGATATAACCAATATTAACACAGGTACGACGTAAAATTAAAATATACAGTTTGCTTTGAGCCCTCAACCTAAACTTTGAATATTCATGGTCGAAAAAAACCTCGAGGTCATTGATAAGATCGCATTTGCTGATATTCAATTGCAGGTTGTAGCACCAATCTCCCAACTTTGTTCAGATTGTCCTGTAATGCATAACAGTTAATAGGTTGAGGTCGTAGAAAACATTTGGATGATCTTGACATCAATTTATAAACAAGATAAATAGCACTGGTCTAAGATATAGGCTCTGAAGTACCTCGGAAGAATCCATGTCCTGCTCCAACTCAAATTCACTAACACCTACATATTGTTTTCTGCTGGTCAGATAAGGGGCTTATCTACTTCAATTAGCAATCCTCCGTCGTTTCCAATTTTCTGCACCTTGATTAATAGACCGGTGCATAACGACCATTTTTTTAAAACGATTTTCTCCCATCTGCCATTAAGGGTGCTTATTCTTTATCCAATAAGAAGTGGAATGGCTGAAATTTCAAAGAGCCCCGCGTGTGACAATACAATGATATACTAATTTGAAAATGTAATGAAAAGTAGAGATCTGGATCAATATTATCCCGTCTGCCACACATTGTGAAGGTAATTTAAACAAAAATGAGTAGAAGGAAGCTAAACCGCGGAAACCCAAGGTTAGTATAAAGTGTCATATTACTAATTTCAAAATGTCGCCAAAATCGGACATGTGGATCAACGACCTCCCGTCTGCAAAATTAAATTTATGGCAATAAGGAAATGGCAGAAAATCTCGGTTGTTATAATATTATTTAACAATTTTTGAAGTTGTTGTTCTCCCATCTGCCATTTGGAAGATAAGTTTGACATGCAAAGTAAAATCCAAGAAATGTATTGGCAGATGTATCCAAGGTATATTAACGATTGGCAGAAACAATAAAAATGTCAAAATTTTTCAAAATTGAGATCAATTTTTTCCTGTCTGCCAATAATTTATATTAAATTAACTACTACTAAAAGCTTGAATCTCGACTGGCAGAAATTGCAGGCTGATACAAGTTCTTATAATTGATGAACAAAATTGGAACAAAAATTGTTCATATCAGTAAAATGTAGTTATGAGAATATGCATATTCTCAATATGGCAGAAACCGCAATGAGCTACATACGTTGCACAATTATTATTAAATTTGCGAAAAATGTTTATGTGTCCAAACAATTTTCTCCCGTCTGACAACCGGTTAATTAAAATTAAAGTTGCTTTCAAGTCAAGACACCTAAATATGATAAGGCAGAACAATAAAAAATTATGTCTTTAGGAAAAAAATGTTTTAATCATCAACATCATCAAAAACTGACTATTATCATCGGCATCATCATTATCGTTTTCATTGTCATCTATCACTTCGGAGTCACTTCCATCACAACTGATGTCACCTTTTCCATTATCATCATCATTATTGCCGTCAGCCAAATCTGATATATCGCCAAAATCTTCGTTTTCATTAATTTCTTCTTCACTTTCATCCTCATCAAGAAAACCTATATGTGTGATAGGCATTAAAAAAAAAATTATGTGATATTTCAAACATTTGTACATAAGCGGTCATTTTGCCTTTTGGTAGGTATTCAGTTGTTTCAGTAGCATAGCATACGCTATTGTCGCCCGGGGCGGAATCATAATTTGCCGCCCCTTTGACGTCATAAAAAAAAAAACGGACTGGGTTCGGTAATTGCATCTGCGAGCAAATTTTGATAGACGTCACGTGATCACTTTATCTTTTTTCACATGTCAAATCACGTGACATTCATGGCGTTTTCGATTGGTAGATTCAGTGCGCACTGAGTGTACCTATTTGCATCCTTTTAATCGACCTGTAGAAGAAAGAGACAGAGATAGAAAAAATTGCACTAGTTCCGCACTAGATCTACCAATCGGAAATGCCATCAGTCAAATTTTGCTCGCAGATGCAATTACCAGCAATTACGAAACCCAAGCCACGGTGTGCGCTTCACATGATAGATGAGAAAACTTCAAAAATCAATAAAACGTAGGTTCAATAAACGAATATCGCAGATGCTTGACAATTGCCTCTATGGCCAAGTTCGTTTTTGTCATCTTTTTCGTCGATTTGCTCCTAAATTTTGAAAGGCACGTGACTGGATGAGACAGTTTCAGTTTACAAATCACGTGCATGTCAGAATTTTAGAACAAATGGACGAAAAAGATGACAAAAACGAACTCGGCCTATATTGAATCCTGGCAGTGGCGTAGTAACGATGCTCCGGGCCCGTGTTCAAAAATTCCACCGGGCCCCTACTTCTGCGAGATGAAAAAATTTTGAGAAATGTTAGAAGTTATATATTTTTTTTCAAATATACAGGGTGAACTTGTGTGTGTGATGTGTGTGATTAAGTTGTAATGGCTCTGGATGAAACCAACTGGCCACAGGGTGAACTTAAAGTATAGAACATATTCAATATAAAATAAATGAAGGCGTTTTCAAAAAAACGCTCCGGACACGTCGATTTTTGCTTGAGATCTCTCCACATTAAAATGTTGTACAGCTGTACCGTTATCAACTTTATTTTTTCAAATGGTACCCTTTGTATGTTATGACATTTCTGGATTCTGCGGAAAATTCTAGACATATTTCATGCACACCCCAGATAACGTCATAAAGTTATCAGGCAACCTACTTCTCTCAAACAACCTTGAGCACAACAAAGCAGAATGCAGGGATTGCTGGTTCTTGAAATCCTGGCATACCTTAGAGTGGTTCGTCGGCCGTACTAATGAATTTTGAAGGTATGCGACACGCGACAAGCGGTAAAACTTTAAGTGAAACTTCTTAGGGTCGGTTTCTCAATAGCGAGTCACCTCCGGGTTGGTTTTAACTCCAGGGTAAACGTGTCGAGTTGCAATGTTCACCCTGGAGTTATGCTTAACCCAGGGGTGACTTGCCATTAAAAACCGGCCCTTTGGCGGCGATCTATCTAATATTTGGACGGCAATGAAGAGTGGTTTGAAAGACGGGTCATGTATAACGTCACGTTTTGGCAAAGGACCCCGCAATATTTAAATGGAAATTGGTTACCCGTGATATTTGGATGAAATTTAAATATGTTATTGGGGATGCCGTAACCAACATTTTTTTACCATGGACACAATCCTGTATATATGACAGGTGAGGCGTGGTTAGCTGTCAAATATTCGAATTTTATATCCAAAAGCAGAGTAACTATGGTAGATTTTGATGAACAAAAAATCTATTTCTACTAAGTCGACCAAGTTAAGTCGAAAAATGTCAATCATTTTGACACCTGTCAAAACCCTGCCAAGCGGCAGCACTCATCTTTTCCAGTGTTCAATATTTTATGATGTCATTTGACATTTTTAACTTGTATGTAAATTCTAAATTCAAAAATTGAAAAAAAAATGACAGAACTGTCAAAATTTGTCATTTGTTTTAGTAGAAAATAATACTCTAATCTGGTTCTTTCTCGTTTTAAGGTAGTTTATTGGTGATAAAACATTGAAAAAGTTCATGCACGTCACATTTTGACAGCTGTCAGAATCTGTCATAGCTTTAATTCAAAAAAGAATCAAATCTAGTTCTTTTTCAATTTAAGTTAGGCTTATTTATGATAACGCATGAAAAAACATTATACGCAGGTTTCAGATTTTGACAGAGATGTCAATTTTCATTTTAAAGTACGTAGTTTTAGTATAAGGGATTTTATTTCATTAAAGTCAATATAGTACAGGGTGGCCCAAATTCGAGCCTCATCATTGGGATCTCGGAAACCGTAAGAGATGCAGGGTTGGTTAAATTATGGCAAAGTTGCCGCTTTGATATTCAGGATATTCCGAATACTTCCAGAGATATCCAGAAAAAAACGAAATTTTGCAAAATGATTTTTATTTTTTCCTGACTTTATTTGAAGTGATACTTCAAAAAAAATATTACTTCATCTTAGCCACTTTTTCTCCCCTACAAGATGCTATCATCAAATTTCAAATATGACGTTTCGTCTTTGGGCCACCATCATCAACTTACTTTTCTAAATACGGACCCTTATTTTTTATTTCAGATTTCAAGAGCTTCTGATATCCCAAAACCTATGACGTATCGCATTTATTCGAAAAATTTATATTATTGGCACTTTTCATAAAAACCAAATGTGTTAGAGAGAGACTGAGTAAAGAATTTTGGTAGGAAATTACTAAGAAGTAAAAAAAAAAAATATTTTTTCGAATAAATGCGATACGCCATAGGTTTTGGAACATCAGAAGCTCTCAAAATCTGAAATAAAAAATCCAGGGTTGTATTTAAAAAAAAAATAAGTTGATGATGGTGGCCAAAAGACGAAACGTCAGATTTTAAATTTGATGGTAGCATCTTGTAGGGGAGAAAAAGTGGCTACGATGAAGTGATATTTTTTTCGAAATATCACTTCAAATAAAGTCAGGAAAAAATAAAAACAATTTTGCAAAATTTCAAATTTTTCTGGATATCTCCGGAAA